AAATCTTTTGAGGTGTCAGGATTCTGAGTTAAGGAAGGTTCCTAACTTTTTCAGCAATTAAGTCTGATCAAAATGGTTAGCTGTAGTACGGTTTCTGTCTAACCTGCTCTGTGGGTATTTCAAGGTACAGAGGCATTTTCATGCATGTTTATATGCAATATCCCACTCCCGACAAAAATAAAGCGTGACTTCAAGGTAAACAGACTTTTGAGTTATCCAATGCTGAATTGAGAATTTACTGTACCTCAGATGCAAAACTGACATTATTTGAAGATGACAAACCATTTGCTCTCAAAAACAGTAATACATGTCGTCAAGCAGGCAAACGAGAATACATTAACACATACTTGAAAAAGAAAAACCTCTTACAATTCTTGCCCCGACCAGGTGATACTGAAAATAAGGCATCATTTGAATTTGTGACGGTGGTGTAGATCTGTCTGGACTTACTTCTGCTTGTATCTGTTGGTGCTACGCACCATACTGCTGTCCATGCGCAGCTCATACTTGACATGGGGTGGGATGGTCTTGTTACTGGCAGATTGGTTGAAGTCCATAAACACAGCACCTGCATGAGTGGAGCAATTACATTCAATTTCACCATGTCTCAGAATCTTGACAGTGCTCCAATACTACATATGCACCTTGAAATCTGAACTTTTGAATCTAACACCTAATCACATGAGAAAAACCAGACTGCCTAGCAATGTTAATGAGAATGGTAGAAATTCGTCAGAGCACTGTTTTGTTTGATAGCACAGCCTGCTATAGCAGCTTCTAAGCATCTAACTTCTGCTGACAACTGTTATTTCTCCATTTTTACCTACATGTTCGTGAGTGCCATCAGTAACTACACTTTCATAGTGTTTAATCCAACCTTTTAAATGTTAAATCTAGTATTTCACACTTTAAAATCCAGCAAAATTGAATCCAGCATTTCAACTGTCAGTACATCTTATTAAATGCTGATTCAACAATTCCAAGGAATTAAAATCTTTCAATCTTGGATTTAATATGTGAAATGCTGGATTAAACATTGAAAATGCTAGATTGAACAGCTTTGAAAGTGTAGTAATGACCGCACACATTTCTGTGTTGGATTCAACATTTTTAGCCTGTACATGCTGTAAAAGTCTGCATTTTCTGAAAATGCAGTCCCTGGCTGATGCTTTAATGGGAACATCAGGAATATAAGAAAGACTCAGAGCAATCCTGAAATCCCTGATAGGAAGACGCCTGTTTGAAAATGTGTCAAGTAGTTGTCAACTCTCAGTCAGACACACCAATGAAGTGGCTTCTGAGGGACAAATTTCAAACTGAGCACATTGAAATGAAAAAGGATGAAAAGGACATATTAGGGCAAAATGTTCACATACACTCGGTAGAAAACATTTTTCCTCAATTTTTAGCTGTTTGAAATAGTTTTGCCAACTTTTTCTTTATGGGGGTCAGACCAACTGTATCCTCACTTAAATGTCCATCATGTGTACTGGGACTTCAATTGAAAATACTCGCAGACATTTATTATGGTTCAAAATATACATTTTTGAAGTATCATTTTGTGAAAAGTTACATCTACCCCCTTATTGTCATTCAATAAAACTTCAGAAAGTGGTCCACTGCAACTGTGAGATGTGACAAAAATACAGAAAGTGGCACTAAATATTAGAGTTGGAGTATGTAACATTATTTTTGGGGTAAATATAAATAGGAATCAGATATATGTCTCCGGGTATTTTTGTTCGACACAAACACCATGTACATTAAAGACAGACCCATCTTGTCTATCCTCTTGAAAAGAAAGGTCGGTAGGAATGAGTGAAGTTGTGAAGTACACGGAAAACTGTTTTTGTTCTACCAGGTGTATGTAAACTTGTTGTCCCAACTGTACATCACTGAAGGAATGATGCCTGGAAAACACTTCACAGTTCAGTATGAGGATTTGGGCATTAATGGGCCAGGCAGTGACTTTTAAAAGGCTTTATATGAAACTTTATTTTTTTTTCTTTGATGTATGAAAGCTATTTGACTTTAATTTCATGTAAGATATCTTAAGAAGTGCACTTTTTTGAAACATTAATTGTAACATTGTCCACGCTTTCTTTGGACAAATGAGGGCACAATTGCTGTGATGTCATTCAGGGGTGATGACACGGTCCACTGCAGATAGGTTTTTCTGTTCAAACTATGACCCAAGAATTTACTCAATGAAAACATTTCTGAAAAATGGCTCACTGGCTTCTTGCAATGTACTAACAAACTGCAAAAAGTGGAAACGTTTTTTGTGCACATCCCTTCCAGGGATGACATCACAATTTTCCTCATAAATATAGAAATACTCATGGACATAAATATTGAAAAACTCATGAGCATAAAAAGCACTAATGAAATACAAATTGAAAATGACCTTCCTCGGTGCACAAAGGTGCATTTTGAAGAGACCCTTTGATTCTAGGCATCCATTTGAGTAAAATGGAAAACTATTCTGAATGTATGTTTTTAGAAATGTACATAAAGGTTGATCAATTCTTCACAATGGTTGAAGGGTGTGAAAAATAGGATGAAAAATGAAATAACACTATATTTATACCTCCCCAGAATGTATGATTTCCTTGTAAAACTCTGGCAGCTTCTTTGAATTCATCTTCAGTGTCAAATCCTCGAACTTTATCAAGATTCACACACTGTTGGGACAAAAAAAGGAGTAAATGGATTAACAAATTAAGCAGATAATTAATATTGGCAAGGGTGGATAAAGAATCAAACTTTGGAGGGGGAACAGAGCCATTTTTTGGGGGGGGAGGAAGGAATTTGAAGATCTCACTTTGTAACCTTTAACGGCCTTTCTGAGAAGTGAGACTGAATTTGGGGTTTTTAACACTCTTTGCAACAAAAGGTAAATCACACTGGCCTAGAAGTTGCTTGTCTTTTGTTAGATTTCAAACAGAAAAAAAAAGATTTCCATGGCCCCATTTGAGCTCCTCCTTCGGATCTACCAATAACTAATCTAATGAGATCATCAGCCCCAAAATTATTACCCTCACTGTAGTTGTGCTATGACGTTGGACTTGGGTCCAGATGTTATTTCTCGATTTGTAACCTGGCCCTGAGTTCTGGCCTTTTTAAGCCCATTTTTATGGGCTGGAATCAAGCGCATGTAAAAACTGTGCGGAAGCACGAGAAGGAAGTCAACATCTTTCCTTTAAATAGTCCCTTGTCGTTGAAAGCTTTTGATTCTTGCCTTTTGAAATCTTTCCTGGACTCTACGAGGCTATTCAGTAATGGCACTCAAACTATGTAAATTCTTTGGTATGAGCTTGGTCAAGATAGGATAGGCATTTCTTGCACTCTCAATTTTTTTGTTATATTTTTATGGCATGAGTTTGCTCTGTGGTAAATTTTTTTCGATACCCTGATAACTGATAACTGACATGTTACATTATTGGGGTGCAGTGGGGCCGGACTTGAGCCAACCAAGGGACTTGGACTTGATAAGAAATCAAGCCTTCTTGGAGTCTGACCATGGCCCAGACTGGGAACTGATGAGGTGGATTCGAGCACATCACTGCAATGTACCTGTCCACCAAGTGATATCTGAAAATTCTATGGGTTTCAACTGTGCACCATTGAACTCATTAACTGTAGGTACCCATGCCATGTTACATGGGTAAACCTATGCAATGCATATGCCAGTACCATGTTTCCCCCCATCCTAGGGTTTCCAGAAGTCAGGCAGTGCTACTCCTGTAAGCATGCACAATTGCTTACATTCGATGCTTGACCATCAGTATCAAGACTACTTTCCAAAAACACTGCCAGAAATGATACTTCTTGATCTTTTTGCAAAAACATATTGGGCACTTTCATTTTTGTGAAGATGTCACCCAAAGATTTCTAAAATTTCTAGCCTAAAGTTCAGGAGAACAAACCTTTCAATCAACGAAACCCCACAATTCTAATCCATCTCTTCCCTTAAACTGTTTAAACATCTTTTAAATCTTTTAAAATGTTCTTTACTCCCAAAGGAAAAGCAACTCACTTTCAGAATCTCTAGGGTTGAGTTGGCAAATTCGTCAATGGCATCTATCGCTGCCAGCCAGGAGTCAGTAATGTTGTTTTCTCTCTTGTCGTTCTCTGCATCCAGAAGAACTTTCTTTAACCAGAGGAAATCCGGAGTGGAGTTGGTTTGGAGTAATTTCTCCAATTGTGGAATCAAGTCTGGGTTTTCTTGAAATTGCTGTATGGTTAAAAAAGCTCATTAAGTTAATTTAAAGTGCAAACTAATTTCAATGTTGGAGGCCCGTACTATGAAAATGACAAACACATTCCAAAGCCTGAAACATCTGATAAGTGTAACAATAGACAAAGTTGATCCTATTATCTTGTAATTCTTCTAATACGAAAAGATGTTAACTCAAAGGTTGTTTTCCCAGTTTCAGACTCATTTTTACAAATTTCATAATTACTTAAACCAAAACAAGAAAGAACATGCAAAATAAATCTCTGAAATTATTTCTTGCAAAAAGCTGGGTTCAGAATTTCTCAAAGGGAAGGGAGTGGCTGAGGTGTTGGGAGTCAATGGATGCATACAGGACATTCCAGAACAGTGAACTTAAATTTTCAACATGCTGTTTGATGTCATATTGGAAATGGAATGAGGGGGATTTCCCAGCAGGACTCCAATAATTATTTTAGACAGTACAGGGGAGGGGTCAGCTGCCAAACAAAATCCCAACAGCTGCAGTCCTTTGCCTACTTTCTAGTGCCATTAGGAATGCATACAAGGGTCCCAATGGACAGAAAATATGCAGAATATTTTAATTAGACATGTTTTTTGCGCATCTTTATATTCTTCTTTTCTATCTCATATCCTAGGGAGGTTAAATGTACTGAATTTTGCATTTTTTTAGCATTTAAATTTTTTTTTCTTTTTTACAGAGCTAAAGTTTATGTTTTTCTGTTCAACTTGTTAAACCCAAATATAATAATAGAAGAGGTTTCTGAGAAACTTGGTAATTGCCATGTACTTACACTGCAATAAATCACCACAGAAAAGAAAATCTTGGACAGCAATATACTGAAACTTCCAGCAGGTTTTTGTGCACAAATCAATACACCTTTCAGGTGTTCTCCTTGGCATAAATGATGGAACTTTTTATTATTATACAACCAAACAGACACCAAAGACATGTACGATTAAAATTGCTTTTCCAAAAAAAATGGAAATGCAGGTTATAGTAACATTAAACTGCAATGCATGGACCCTTTAACCTTGCAGAAAAGTATGACTGTTTTGGGGTAGAAAAGCCATAAAATGTACTTACATTGACTACATCCAGAGCTGGGTTAGTTTCTATGAATTGTCGGAGCAATGGGGAGTACTGCCGCCATTTCAAAAGTAGATCCCTGAATAGTCGCATGGAGGCAAAGGGTTGCTCAGCCTTTATCATAACGGGAAAATAAGTATATTAGTAAACTCACTAATAAGACAAGGCATGAAGGCCTCACTGATGGCTTAAGATAATACGGGCGATTCACAATAGTGCGCCACCAAGAGCTAATTCCACCACGTTGGTCAATCACAATGTGCAAAATCTGTCGACCCAATGCACGTCTGGAAAGGGTCGGCAGATTTCGCGCCTTGTGATTGGCCAACGTATTGGATACTCTTGGTGGTGCACTATTGTGAATCACCTGTATTCTTTGATATGGGAGTCCTGATCTCAATGTTCATCATAAAGGCTCATTCATTCCAGCACTCAAGAATTTTTTTCCTCCATTCTGGTCAATTAAATCATTACCATTTTCAAACCCTGTTATAAACAATTTACGTTTCAAGAAATGAAAAACCAAGGCACTATAGATAAGTTTGGTCTTTACCGACCGATATGCAAGCAATGTAATAAATATAACTTTCTGAGAATAATGCTTTAATTAAAGGGTTTCACATTCATTTCACTCCATCCATGTACTTATTGGGTAAAAAAATGTACCCAGAAACTGTTAACTTAGAGACGTTTCACTAAGAAGGCAAAATGCGTGAGTCTACAAGAAAAAAAGTGTGACGTTTTTCAATATTCACAAAAAGTTTGGGAAAACACCAGAGAGATATTATTCACCACTAGAATAAAGAGTTTGTTGGAAAGTCTTCTGAAGCAGTGTTTCACCAAAACTTCATCAAGCCTCAAATTCCAATTCAGGAAAACCTGTGAGATGCAACTGTAAAAAGACAAATACAAATTGGCTCCAACATTAACCTACCTCCTTCATAATCCGTCTGGTGGCTTTGGTGTCAGGAGTGTAGAGAATGAACCCTTGTATCATCGGCTTGATTCGGTCCCACATGATTTCCCCAATCTCTGTGGATGCAATCTGCTGCACCCAATCACAGTCCTCTGCAAAAGGTTTCATTCAAGCACAAAACTGCAGTGGATTTCATTTTCAAGGCACTAGTGTGAAGTGAATACAGAAGTGACTGTGAGGATGTAACAGGGTGAGGGTTAATGGGGGGAGGAAGCACTGTGTTGAGTTTTTTACAGAGCAACTGTCACACAATGACGCTGGTTCAGTACGCTTATTACCATCATTACTAGGGGCCTCTCTGCAAATAACCACTGACAGCATGACCACAGTCACTGGATTTGTCTATGGCAACTGATTTGCATTTTTTTGGCTTCTGGGGTACTAAGCTCAGAGCATGCCTACCTTCCGGCGCCTGCAAGTCGTCTGTCGATCGTCTCCCTCTCCTGGCACTTCCATCCATCAGACTCTGCATCCCACTGCTCAATCGCTTTAAGTCCCCAAAGTTCCCAAAGCCTTTGTCTGCACCTGCCCCGCCGAAGCTGATGTTGTTGAAGTTGATCAGCTCGCCGACACTGCCGCAGATGAGCTCGTTGGTGTTGTTATCATAGAACAACAGATTGATCTCGTCGACCAGCTCATTGAAGCTGTCCAATTGTGAAATCTACAATAGGAATTAAAATGTGTCATATGCATTTGATAATCAACTGTGTGAGATTTCTTACAGTCAATTCAGCCCAGTGCACACCTCACACAAAGTTTCTTGGGGACATACAGTCATTGGCAAAAGTTTAGGACCATCTATACAGAATAAATTGACCTGAAGAAAAGACAAATTTAAACCAATCAATTATGACAACTTAAAATTTTTTCTATGTGTAATCTTAGTGTCATGGTCAAACACCTATTTGATTACATTTCCATGATTTGAAATGTTAACACTCTCATATTTAGTGTGCCCGCTTCCATTTCTGTTGACTTCTTGAATGCAACGTGGCATGCTGGAGATGAGGATTGGCAGCAGTCCGCAGAAATTTCCTTTTCCCAGACGTGTGTGTGCCTTGGCATTTGATGGCTTTCACAACCTCCACAAATTTTCATCTGGATTGGTGGGGGGGGGCATTTCATGGTCACAATGACTGAACCATACATCAATCTTTTTCTGCTAGGTCTTCAGACATACACTTTGTGTCATAAAGATTGTTGCACCTCATCTGAAAATTAAACTCTCATCCAGTCTTTTGCAAAAAGCATTCATCCAAATGGGCTCAAAATGCTTCTCTGATGTTGTGGGCTACTGTAAAAAAAAAAGTCATTTAATCGTTCGGTGAGAAAATGTAATGCAGGACCAGTGACACTTCCGGGTGGTCTGGAACTTTTGAAAATGACTGCACATGTCTTTTTGATGTTCAAAGAGAAAGTTTCCGAACAGACTTCACTTTAAAAAAATGGTACGGATTAGGCACTGTATTAATTTGTAAGAGATGTGGGGTCCAAAAGTATGCCATTTTTGTGTGCCTGTTACATCTGACGTTTGTAATTCGACATGAAAATATCGCCGGAATTGATTTCAAACTATTACTATTCGTTTGGCAGGTAATTTGCATTAATTCATCACTCTTGGAAACTACAACATGTGTTCTGAACTTACAAAACCATATGTCAGATGTGACAGGGACAAGAAAATAATGGACCCCTAATTTCTGGAATTACCCATGTTCCAGGCCAAATTGTTACAATCAATGCAGAAGCGATAAAAATTATATCAATGAACGGTTCTTATAAAGGGAATAACACTATAAGTCTCAATGCTCTGAAAGTCATTATCCTCGCACATTGGGCTCACAACATCTAAACATTCCTGAAACCATCTCAGCTCCTTGGGGAGTATACAAGCCAACAAGCAAACGGCTGAACAATAACCAAACCATTTGTTGTAATGTTGCAAATTATTTCATTGTGGACCGACTCAGCCTAGGACCTTACAAGGTAGTTTTGAGTGAAGCAGCAACATGCTTGTTTATTATAAAGCTACTTCTAATAAATTTGCCTTATATGTTAACAATTTAAAAGTGTACGGAATTATTTTTTGAAAATAACAGAGCTAGGTTACATAGGACCCTAAGATTCAGTTTCAAGGTTTCTGCATAATCCAAGTAGCACTCCGAATGTAGCACATTCAGGGTAGCATTCAATAACTGGATATGCATTGTGGTTAAAGTGAAAGCACAATCACACATGCATCAACCAGTGTACACTTCAACAAGATGGCATAACAAATACGCAATCTGGGAAATTCTTCTTTGGCCACCTTACTCAGAGAGATTGCAAACACAACTAAGAAATGTACGTAGAACAGCCATATGATAAGCACACAGATAATGTTTATCATTGCACTAGTGGTAAGAATAATTCCCTGAAGTGACAGACTGCATGTTCTAATCCACAAAGCAAAAATGGTGCATTTGATTTGCGACTGAATAATTTTTTTCCAGTGGACAAATGTGTAACTTTTATTTGTTTTTCTACAACACCTGAATAAAATCTCTTTGTGTGCATACTGCCGTTTTGCTTTCTCTGTCTGGCATAAAACTGTGGCACAAAGTTTTCACGCTCATTCTTATGTATATTGAAATTTACTCTCATTGTTTGCAATGTTTAATTTGTTTCTATGAGATGCATAACTGTCCCAAACAAGTACAAAAAATTCTAAATCTGAGAGAAAATGGCATGGTTGGTCTCATTGATTGTTATTGCTTGAAATTTTATCCTGTCGTGAAATTAGTCGCAACTGCCCCTTCCACATCAGCACCAAGTTCTAATTTTTTTCACATGGTTTCCACAGAAATCTGGAAACCAGATTCCAGGACTTTTCCACAGCTGAAATAAGACAATTTCTATGACTTCAGATTAAATAGGATATCTTCTCCACACCAAAGTACAGACCCAGGGATGTCAAGTATCTTCTCCACACCAAAGTACAGACCCAGGGATGTCAAGTATCTTCTCAACACCAAAGTACAGACCAAGGGATGTCAAGTATCTTCTCCACACCAAAGTACAGACCAAGGGATGTCAAGTATCTTCTCCACACCAAAGTACAGACCCGGGGATGTCAAGTATCTTCTCCACACCAAAGTACAGACCCGGGGATGTCAAGTATCTTCTCCACACCAAGATACAGACCAAGGGATGTCAAGTATGTTCTCCACACCAAAGTACAGACCAAGGGATGTCAAGTATCTTCTCCACACCAAAGTATTATACCTTGACAGTGTGAAATTCAGAGTGATCTTTGGTACGTTACATTTCATGCATCAGTGGAAATGCCGATGGCCAACATGTTTATGTACTCAGTTTGGATTCATTTGCTTACAGAAGCTCCATTTGCCAACTGGAATTAATTATTATTAAGCAGGTGTCGCACCCCTACACCCCTTCATCACAGTGGAGACTGTACTGTTGCTAGCAATCATGGGCAATTATTTATGGAGTGAGGGATATCATAAAATTTGTGCCCTTCACTTTTTTCAGGACCATAAATAAAAAAATGGAGGGGAATTAAGACTGCATTTTATTCATATTTCAGATTAAAAAAAATTCAAAATGAAACAAATAGTGCCAAAGCAGTTGCTAAAAATTATCTTCATTTACTGGACACTTACACCCACATGAAGGACAGTCTGGTCTACTCTAATCTGACAGACAACATCTACTGACACTGGAATATTTCAGCCAGGCCTGCTGCCTTGTAAAAAGACCTCTTTTCAATAGGGGCCAGATTAGCGTATAGCAGTACTGTGTGGCTCATTGCTGTGGTGGTGGAGCACTTTTAAATTTGTCCCCAGTGGTAATCCGGTTGCGCTAAATCCCCAAAACTGTGGTACACTGTTTCAAAACAAGGTAGATTATCTCCACTATTGAGAGTGAAAAAATGTTGGTAATGCCCAGCTGGCTGGTCTTTTGTTACGAGTACGATCTTTTGTTACAAGGCCTAGTTCCCTTTGTCCGATTTCGGAGACCGCAGCCATACGTATAAAAAATATTTGTCCAGTGCCGGACACCCTGGCCGCAGGTGGTTAAGGCTTCATCATGCTTCCCACTCGCATTAGTTCTAATCAAGGCTATGTCCTCCCACATTTGAAACGCAATTACAATTAAAACAGCACTGGGACTCTTATGTCAAATCTGTACCGGATCTCACCTTACGTGCGAGGGAAATCAGTAGTGTCAGGGAGTTCTTGTACCATTCATTCACATCAGTTCCGTTCAGCTGTAATGAGACAAGACAAGTGCAGAAATGTGTGAAAGTTATAAATCCTGTTACAAAAAAATAACTTCTAGAACCTACATTGGGTATTGTAATGGATCATCACGTGTTTTCATTGTGGACAAGTATATTGTTGCTTTCAATTCCTCAAAAAAAAAATTAATAATGGCAAAATATCAATAGCGTACCGACAAAATGGCTTCTCTGACCTGGCAAACCCGAACGTGATGGCAACGTGCTGCAAGTTTGTGTGCATTTAAACGAAAATTTGTCATACATGTGCACAAGTAGGCAGGCAGGACCGGAACCATGTCTTTAAATCACTGTTTCTTGTGATTCTACTGGGAACATGGCACCATATATCCTGTTTCTGAAATAAATTCACACTACTTTTTCAATCACATGTTTCTGATAAATTATACTTTTTACTACTATACGGTCTCCATGGCAGGAATCCCTTCAAATGTCAAAACTGACTTACGGCTTTCCACAGAGCAGGGTAATTAATAACAGACTGGACCTCACGGGACAATCGGTCCAAATCAATGTCGGTCAGGTTGCAGAGTGTCTCGCTCATTTCCTCTATCTGATCGGGGTCTGTGGTTGTGACATAGTCATCAAGAAGGGTTGTGTTGCAAACGGTGTCGCGCATGTTGCGTCCTTGAAGCAAAAGCAAAAGCTGAAGAAGATACAATGAGATAAGAGGAATCCTTAGGAATGTGACAAAGAACACTTTTATAGGCATCAGCACATTAGCAACTAAATATATCCTGTTACTTGAATCTCATATAACCTGCTTTGCATGTTCAAGGGCCCAACAATTTCACTGGAAAGAAACCAAAGAGTATTTTCTGCTTTAAATCAATCTTCGCCCCTTTTGCATTAAAAAGCAATAAATTTTTTTTTAACTACAAATGGGAAACCACTGTTTATTCAAAGTGTAAAAAAACACACTTTAGTGTTATTGTCGTTATAGCCAATACATTACCTTCCACAGTCAGTGGCGTAGCTAGGATTTACTATTGGGGGGCACAAAGGGGACACCAGCATCTTATGGGGGGACATCAGCTTTCATGATCAGTGGTGTGTTTTTTTTCGGGGGGGGGGCGAGTTTTTGTTAGCTTTGTTCAATATCCATTCATCCATTTTTGTTCAGTGGGAGGCACCGGGGGGGGGGACACTGGGACTTTGTGGGAGGGGGACGTGCCCCCAGGCCCCTTCCATGGCTACGCCACTGTCCACAGTTTTTTAGGAAGTTTAAGTAACAGCAAAACTTTTATCGTTTCAAAACCTTCAATTATTTCCCTAACACTTAGATGGACACTTATAATAAACAAGCTCAACTACTTAACCACTTGTTACTGGATGACGTGTAAGTGCACATCATTTTCCTTTTTTGTTCAACAGAGGAAGTGTACAGTTGTTTAAGAATTTTTTTTCATTTCTGGGATTATAACACATTAATCGTCGAGCTTGGTTGGGTCAAAGTGCGGAAGGCGATGCTACAAGCGGACATGATTAATAAGTGGACCAACCCCCAACTGACAATAAAACGGAAATGCCTTTCTTGAGTAATGAGAATTGGATTAGGGAGCCTACACCATACACAAAAAACTAAGGGGATTAAACACCTCCTTTGTTTAGGTAAACCAATTTGCCAGGGAGCGAAACCTCACTTACAAAAGAGATCAGGGTACAAAATCCCAACTAGCAACTGTGTATCCAAATAGTTCCCCCCAAAAACTCACATGGCCATGGGTGATGCCTGTATATGCTGTGAACCTTTTGTACGTGAACCGGTTAATGTCTGGACATGTGCCACAATTTTTACCAGGGCAGTTGAAAAACAGCTGAACAGAACAACTCGGGGAAAGAATGAAAATACTGATGCCCTAAGTCAAGAGTTGTGCCTTCCTATATATGTTATGAGTGCCAGAAATAATTTGCAAAAAAAACCTGCCCCATGCAGCAGCTTTTTCAAGGAAAAAAACCCAACATTAACTGGCTAAAGTGCTCCTGACCAGGTCAAGAAGTTACACCATCGATTACATTGCCAAAATGAAACTGAACAGTCAAAAGCAACAGACATGCAAATTCACTATTTTTCTTTCACAGAGCTTATTAGTCGAATTAAGCCAATTTGCCATTACGTTCAACCATTTTTAAAACTCTGCAGAACAAAGTCAACTTTCCTTTGCAATTTTGACTAAATCACCAATTTTTTGCATTGTATTGTGGGATATTTTCCCTCGGTGGCTAAGTTACTAAGGTCGCAAGAAGCCACTCAGGCAAGAGAAACCATGTCAAATCAAACAAAGCTCTGCTTGCAACAAACGTAATCAAAGCAATCAAACATGCCAATTTTGTGTCATAAAAACTCACTAAAGATGGCATACATACTATTTTGGGATTGTCGATGGAATCAACCAGGAGCTCTGCATCCTGTTCCGACACACCGTACTCCTCTTGCAGGAAGTCAATCAGTGCTGTCTTATTGAGCAGCAGATCCTCAACTGGGATCCCTGGGATTGTTCATTTAAAAAAAAGTCACATACATTGTATAGAAGGATTTCACATTAGCTCCATCTGCGCATATCCGCATCGAAATCGAGGCTCTCTGTGTTGAACTTTGTCGCGCGCCCGTGGAGTCGACACAGTACATGCAGTATCCGGTTCATAAGTGTGGCACCACTTCGGTTTAAACCACGCCCACTACACAAGATACACGACCATCGCAGGTACGTTAGTTTGTGGTAAATTGCCGTTATTTTTTCTTTTGATTTTACGTGTTGAGTCATCCTGAAAGATTCTTCCACAAAATGTTGAAAGAAGGCTGGCAAGTCTTAATTTAACATTCCTTTATGTATTTTGTGTCTTGACTCCTTACTTTCCATCGTCTGATCATATTAAGAATTGAAGCTAACACATACAGCCTCGTTTTCAAACGCGGAAATGCGCAGATCAACACTAAAAGCGTTGTACTGGGATCCCTCTATAAAGTGATTAGGTCAGTAGACCTTGTATCTGGATGGGCTAGCAGGGGCCAAGGGATCAGGTTTATCATGGATTCATGTAACATAGCTTGCAGATAAAAACAAACCACATATGGGCCATTCGGCATGGGTTATGCGGTTAAGGAGAAGTTTGAGACCTTCTACGCAATTTTGGAGGAAAAGATGATGGCGGGGGCACAGAGAAAGGAGAAGGAAGAAGGAATAAAAAGCGACATTTCAAGCTCCAAACAAAAGTGACATTCCTGTCCAATCATTTCTGTATCTGGCAATGTTGGGAACTAGGTCTCTACTCTTGACAATAATACTGACAACATGGAGCAGGACTTACACTACTTGCACCTATCACACTCCTTAACAAGGACATAAATCTAAAGTAAACTAACAGGAGTACCAGCATAAAGTACAGCTACAGAGTAGACATGCAAACTTCTGAGTTTCATGTGCTTGAACGATAGCATGAGCAGCACTTTATATGGCACCCGAGTATGAAGTGATTTTTCCCTTTTACATGTGATTCTTTTTTGATACCAGGACTTCATTGTTTGCATTTGACTCAGCCTAAGCTGATAATGTCTGCTTAACTCAGTCAAACAATATGCAAAACCACAGGAGCCAGATAACCCTCCTTACAGTAGGCCCCATTTGATTCATATACATAAAATATGAAACTTAATAATTGTGCACAAACTTAATTTCAATGATTAAAACAGATACCAGTTTTGTTACTCAACAAAAACTCAAATACTACAGTGGCAGGCAATGTCCCCAGCATTACTTAAAGTGGATATGATCGATATGCTTGAAATACTGAATCAGAGGATAAGCTTGTAGGATGCTGTAAAATTCCCATCCAAAATTAAGCAAACAAGAGCTGTGTGAAGATACATACCGGTGTACTGTTGGATTCCACCCCCATTGCCAACACGGCCTGGAATGCCTCCAGCACGAAGCTGCACATATACAAGAAAAACTTGTCACTCACATTACACTTCATCATCAGGGAATACTACATACCTGTATGTGAGATGCAGTTGGTGAGCCCTCTTCAGGGCTATTTTGAATAGAATTTTGATTGAAATTTACACTTCCAAACACCAGCCCATATTCACTGTCTTCTTCTTGCTTGCACTATCTAGGCTACATATCCAGATGAAATTAGTTAAGCCATGAGCCACCGATGATATCAAGCCTCACAAACAAAAACTTGTGTTTGGAGGACGGTGCCTGAGTTCATTACTAAGTCCCCCTTGCTCCACTCTCCCATACATTTAAAGTTCTAGAGGTCTGTCTTCTTGCACAGGTGATATGTAGGAAGAAAGAAGCCTTATGTTAGTACGAAGACTAATTTGAGAAGACACCATAACTGACGTGGCACAACACTCACAAGTGCATTCTTTAACTTGACGCACTTTATACATGTATTTGGCAAATCACGACATGCATAACATGTACGTACCACCTGCCCTAAAGCATTAGGCCACCACAGTTATGGCTTCTAATACCAGTCGGCCAATTACACTGTAAAGCACTTAAACTGAATCAGGAGGAATACAATTGCTTGAGTATATGAAGTTTATGTAAAATTAAGAAATTTCCAAAAAATTGAAATGGAATTGCACTGGTAGTCAAATATTTACAAATACTTTTTTTTCTCATAATCTTGCATCGAATTTATCAGAATCCCAAAATCACAATAAATTATTAATTCCTATTAGCAACAAATTATTCCAGTAAGCAGCAGACCTGCATATGACCCTCCCCCCCAAAAAACTCCAAAAAGAGGAAGCTCACACTGAATGCCCTTGAGCAATTCAGAAAACATCAACGGGTGAAGAAAATGTCAAGTCAGGAGTTGATTTCAATGTCGTCGTGGGCTCGGCGAAAGGGCGTAAGCACACTTATGCCCTTTTGCCGGGAAGCATGATCACAGCAGAAAAAATGTTCCTGGCAGAGGGGTGTAAGAAGCACACTCTCTTTATTCAGTAAAAAACAAGGATAAAATTTACTACAAAATCAACACAGGTTGTACAAAGAGCAACCTTTGAATAACTTATTAAATGACGTGGGAAATTGTTTAAAAATTTTTTGCAAAGAAATCTTTATATTTCATTAAAATAAACAGTTGCGGGCATACGTCCTTTTGCTGGGAAAAGTTTTTTTGCAGTGATCATGCTTCCTGGCAAAAGGGTGTAAGCGCTTACATCCTTCTTCCAGGCACACAACGATGTGGCTATAATCTATATAATGTGATTTGGGGAGCCGATTAAATATCACAAATTAACAACTTATATACATGTCTATTGTGATTAGAGGAAACTGAACAATGATGGTTTGGAAGGTTAAAAGGTGTTTTGAACTTAATAGTGTGGGGCACGGAAGTCTGACTTACCGCTGAGAGGGAAATGAGTTTGTCAATATCGACCTGGCCGGCCAGCATTTTGCTCAGACTGGCAAGGTCATCTGCAGTCAGGTTGCACAGCTCCCTCTGCATCGTGTCCAGTGTGGTCTGATTCTCCACGCCAAACAATTTCTGCAGCTCTTCTTTATCACAGGACACATCCTGGAAGGTCTCGGTGTTCAGTAGGGAAAGAACCTGGAGAGGGAGGTTCACAGAGAGGTCAAGGGTCAAAGGGGGCTGACCGGAAAGCACTTATGTGCAGAGTTGTAACCAAGTCAGTCACAAGTCACTGCAAGTCATAAGTCAATTTACTCAAAAGCTATTCCTTTGTTATAGTTCATCTCTTTAGTTCCGCCTTGACTTGTGAAATGACTTGGGAAATGACTTGTAGGAGAGTTGACTTGTGGACTGATGACTTGTGACTGCTTTGAAAATCTTCAACTTTGCTCATGTGTGATCCCAAGACAGTCTAAAAATTCAGCAGGGTAGTTCAGACTCCCCAAACCACCAGCCTTCATACCAGGAGCTATGTTAACACTATCAGGCCATCTGTATGTGGACAGGCATGGCTTAATTAGCTAGGTGCCTTGCCCTGCCTCATGGTTGATGTCAATGTATTTCAATCCCCCGTTCATTCAATACACATGTAAGGTCTGGGACTTGAAGTCTATGGAAGCAAACATGTTGAATTTGTGAATTAGACCATAAATGGCTAGTGGGCACACTAGTAACCCGGAGGAGTGTTGCAGTAAAAAAAAAATCTGTACAAATATTGTAGAAAAAAAAAGAAAGACTATAATGATATGTGGCATTTGGCCTATCAAAACTTGACTGCTATATCTTGCTTTCTTGACAGTTGAAATTTCAGCCAAAATAATACCATCCACAATTGGTTGAAGGGTGGAAGGCACTGGTGCAATTTAAGTCCCTGCCTCAATTTTATTTTTAATTTACTAAAAGAGAGACTCCACTCCTGAAATAAAGTATGTCATACACTCAGTACAAATCTTCAATTCTGGCTCAACCCTTGTATTTTGAGGATCTTTCTGTCTTAAATTAATGTAGCCTATCTATTTTGCTTCACTCTATTAATGGAGAGAGCCTTGCGATTTGTTAAATCCCAATTCTATCCTGAGATCACATCACGCATCCAGCATCTGTCCATAGTAACACTAATATTTAACATGTCTAACATGTTTTGTGTATCTAACTGCTTAACTACCGCTGAACAGACAGCCCTAATAATGAACTATTTATTTTCAAAAACAGGCTTAACTTATTTGCCAATGAGGCAAGAACAAAACTGAGACGAATGTTACTCATTTTGAAATGGGTAACTCTAGAGCAAATGGTTGTCATGCAATTTTCAATTTGACAGATTATGTGGGCTCAGTGGGTCATTCTATAAATTTGGGGTCTAAAAGTGTGACATGTTGTGTCCTATTACCCATGTGACTTTGACCTGTGTAAGTTGAAGTGGAAATATCACTGAAATTGTTTTCTGTGTTTATTTGTTTGGCAAATAATTGGCGTTACTGAACCCCTCTTGCCACGTAAAGAATGAATTCCGAATATTACAGAATCATTTGTTAGATGTAACGGCACAAAAAATAATTGGGACCTAAATTTACAGAATGACTTGACTGCTCCTTTAAGGGAACATCCCTCCAATTTATTTATGCCCCGCCCCTGATACCTGTTCTGGAGTCATTTTTGCATTCAGGATTGCATCTGCCACTGCCGGTGATAGTTGAAGGTCCTCTGTTAGAAATCTCTTCACCTTATCTGGGTCCTTGAGATAATCCATGAGGGACTTTGATTCTGTTTTAAAAAAAATCATGTACTTTATATGTTGCAATTAATTTCAATATGCACCAATAACATGTGGTCAATTTTAATTTGACTAATTTCCAGTGAACATATATCTACTTCTCTTTTGATCTGCAGTTTGTATGTTCATAATCCAAGTTCACAATTCCTGTATTATGCTGGCATCGACACCCAAACACCCAACTTGACCCAGATGTACAGTTAGTGTTTGTAATATTTTTTTCTGGAGGTACAAGGTGCATGTTTCCATTTCAACCAGTAAACATGCCATGACTACATAATTTGGAAAGATAAGTGCCTTGATGTGTATTGGCAATGTCAAGATGACATGTGATTCCAATGTGCTTATATCAAGCAATATTAATGGAGGGCTGACACATGTTTGATTTATGCTCTGCATGCACAGTGCCAAGTGTAAATAGTAACGTAAAAGACCTCAGATGAAAATGGCACATACATGCAGTTAACACAGAGGACCAAATTTTCATTTTCATTTGCTTAAAATACAGTCAAACGGATACTTTTTTTCTTGTCAAAGCACTGAAGGATAGCTAGGACTATGCTTTTTAACGAACTGATTACTGAATTACAAATAATTAGTTTGTCAAGAGATATGGATAAGCAATTATGAATACCCTGAACCATTACACAAGTCTTTCTGTTAGATGTATGGGAGGATCTTTTCACATGTAAATACTTGCATTTTTATTTATTTTAAACTTTGGTTGTTAACTGCAATATCATAAACCTTGACTAAATGAACAACACACTGAGAAATACACTTCTGATGTTGGAGGGTACATATACACAGTAGTAACAACTACAAATGATCAATATTACAAACTAAAACTAAATCCACTTAGGTAACCTTTACTTCATGCATTGTTGAAAGCCCTCAGATTATGTTGAAGAATTTTGCTCGGCTTTAGGCACGTACGTTACTTCTCTTCTTTCGCACAAAACGGATAGACCTACATGTACCAGTCATAGAGCTTTCTGAATGGGCTGTGTTACTGAATTGAACTAAACACAAATTGAAAAGACATATTATGATAAAAAAAACCATGCCAATTAACTCTTCCTAGGTTTGTCAATCTCAGATAGCATACAGTTGATGGTAGCTTTTCAACATTGTTGTCAGATTTTCAGAATTCGCCTTTTTTAAAGTCGACAAAAGTATTCAAGTAGAGAAGAATTTGAAATTGCAACCTCTGGGACACTGCACTTTACAAATTTCTACATAGCTCTACATGAGTGTTACCAATGCTGTCTTCCAGTTAAGGATTCAGAGCATTGTTTTCAAAGTCACTGTTATACTGGCCATTCATGTGTAAGTGTATGTGGCACACAGCTGTAGATCACTCCCACAAGTCATGATACAAATCAATACTGCTGCATTACAAGGGAACAGAGTCCATTACCAACACTGTACACAGCAAAATTAACAAAATGCAAACTGACATATTTTTCTTGTTTCCCAGTTTGAGGTGGACTTAATTATTTCCAATGAAAAGTATTTTTGTAACAAAAGAAATTGGGCAGGGGCATTTTTAGCACTCTTGAAATGCAAATGATATCATTCCTTAAAATTGTTCAATTGCTTCGAACAACAACACAACAGCATGTACCATACGTAATGTAACCATATTTACACCTTATAACACACTTGGGACCCTTCAACTACTGCAATGTCAAGTTTACACCCTCAAAATGAATTGCTGTTTCATTTGCTTTGCAGTGGCCAATTTTGATAGCTAGTACCGTGTACTTGTGTACTTTGACATTTACAACTCAAAGCAGCAGACTGATGATATATCAGGCCAGATGATATATTTATACAAAGACATCATTTATGTTAACTGTTGCAATAGCACACAACAGCACACCAGTACGATACACCATCACATCTTGCAGTTTAGCTTGTTTAATTATTTCGTCTCTGCACAGGTAACCCTCCAGTGGAAAGCTGGGTCATCCAGTTAATGATTGGCCAGCCTCGATTATCATGAGAGAATGATTCATCCCAAATCAACCCGCCTTGACAAAGGCGTAACGGACATCAATATTTGACAGGCCTCTGTGGTACTTCGGAATTTTTATTCATGCCTATGTGAAATGGAAAGATTTTTCCTCCGAGCTTGGATTAAAATCTCAAACAGTGGTATAAGTTTGCATTTGAAAAGAAAGTTTTTTGACCTCAAATGTTAACCTTTCATCACCACCTTACATGTATATGTGCAGGAGTACATGAATTAAATGTCTATTACTGCACAGTAAGTTTTCTGTGGATGTAAATGTAGATTTACAATTTTACATCAACTGACGAGCCCTTTCAAGAAATATACATGTGCGACTTTTTGTATCTTTGATCTTACTACCAGTTGAAAAACTTAAAGTGCCCACCATGACACCTAGCAAATATTTAGAATTTCATCAAAAAGATTTCTCTACATATAAATTGGAGGCACTTATATAATTTTCATAAAAACAGATGTTGATGAACAAATGGGAATGAAATTTGCCTAATAAAGCTTTCGTCAAGAATGGAAAAGGCTACGAGAGGATAAACTGTAAAATACTGCCTACTTAGAATAAGTGATGATGACAGTTCCCTGTAAAGAGACCTTAATTTCCCCCAGGCATGGAGATAGGGCCTACCTGCGTTTGGAAACTTATCCAGATTCTTCAAGTAAGGAAGCAGTTTGTTCAGTTCACTAACTTGGATGAGGAGAGTCTTCACAGCCTCCAGGACTGTCCTGTTTGTCATGATTATCTCTATATCTTCTAGTAATCTTGTTAGTCTGGGGAAGAGGGGGACACAAGATGTAGGCCTCAGTCATTTAATATCATGAATGGAAAGCTGACTAAGCAATCTCTGGCACAGTACATCTTGAGGCTGCAGTCTGGAAACATCTACACAGTTAACCAATCATTTAAATGGTTGCCCTATTTTGGTCAACTATAATCCAGTTTTCCAAAAATCAACTTTTCTATTTTTTGAGCATGGGGTACCTAAAGACAAAAATCATGATCCATGTGAGTACACACACAATTAATAATTTTTTGAAGACTGAACGAGAACACTAATGCCACATGTTTGCAATGTCTGAAATACCAAAAGCAGTAAATGTCCCATTTCTCCTCGAGCATGGTCTTCATTTGAGTTGCTTTTCCAAGAAGGGAGAGTAAAGTGAATGACACTGTATTACCAGACATTCAATGACAGAATCAGCAATGAAACATATAAAACAGGAACCTTGCATCACCAGAGCACCTACATGCACATTGTTTTTTAATGATATTCTCTGCTTCTTCTACCAGCCTCATTGGTGAAACACTTCGAGGTATCACTCGTGAGTAAGATCATTTGCTTCAGTCACAGGAGACAATAGGGACTCTGTTGGCAAATACAGCTGTAAATGTTTGTCTTCTGTAAACAGAAAACACTTTTATTACGGAAAAAGTAGCATTTGACCCCCCCCCAAAAAAAAGAAGAAAAAATGCAATTCCTATTTTCTGGCCAACATGTACCCTATTTTGACGGTGTGACCCTGTAAGAGCTTGGGGGGAGAAAAGTGTGGAAAAATGTGACATTGGAAACAAAAAAGTTTAAAAACATGTCTATTGCAGTTTGTGGTGCATAAAGGATCAATAGGCTTATTCATGTATACAAAGTTTGTGGTGTCCTTTACAGTGTTGTTCAATCCATTTGAAACAAAAGTAACCTGACAACTCTTGCTTTTGTTCTTTTTACAACCAGCTAGGACTTGGATGTGCACTGAATCAGTATTTCTGCCTCCCATTGGAAGCAGAACTCCTCTTGGCCTAACAATACCCTCGACCTGCTTCAATGAGTTGGTGACTCCACAATATTTGATTGAATTCACATCCAAGCAAACTTGGAAAAAAGGGATCAGGTACATACCCCGCATCTCTAAAGTTGTTGACGTTTCCACTGCCCTCGCCATAGGTTTCGTTTGGTTGACACTTGCTTTCAAAGTCACACATGAATGACTGGAAGAAAGGCAGGAGGCCTCCCGAGGGAAGTGCCTTGCCAAGAAAATGACCTGAGAAAAACAATAGTAAATGCAAAACGTGCACGTCTTTTTACACAACAAAGCCTTCTTGGCCACACCTCATACACTGTCATTTGCTTTCTGTATGTCAACTGTCAAAATGGAGGAAGGGAAACAGTATGCCTGCTTTAGTCTTGGAGATATGACAAAACTAAGTATACACTGTTGGCGTAGAAGTTCTGGTTACATATTTTTGTATTTTTAAACTTCCCTCCAGCTCTCTGTGTCTTAAAATACTACCCACGGGAAGTTCAAGCGGCACTCTCTAAATTCCAAAGAGTGAAAATTCACTGCAATTGAGTGAAAATTCAATCCCTCAGATTGAAATTAAGGAACAGACGAATTGGAGTGAATTTTTTTCACTCCAAAAGACTGAAATTTCACTTGAGCTTCCACTGGAAGGGGCTACTTTCAGCCTTTTTCAGTCTAAATTCACAGTGATTTTCACTCTTAAATGTCTCGTCCCTAATTTCACTCTTTCCGATTTAGAGAGCAACCACAGACCAATGGTCGAGTTTACCTGGTAAACCGTGAACAAAGTATGTCCTGGGTACCAGGCAAAAAGTCGACAAGTGGTTAACAAATGGTTTTTGCATTAACTAGTACCCTAAGCTGTAGAGATTTAAAAAGATATATTGATAGCCTACATTCCAAAATGAAACTGACCTCACTTCGAAAAAAGATTTAAAAATATGTTTCAATTCAAAACGTGAACCTTCCAGTTGCTCACCCACGACATAAAAAGTGCTCACTGGCTTATTGCCATGTGCTTACAAATTTTGTGCATAAATCAATGCAACATCCAGATTTTCTCTCTGAAATGACTCATGTATGACTCAAGAAAATTTCATTCACTTACAAACCAAAAAGGCACGAATTGGGATACCTCTTCAAATAGCAAAACAAAAACTGAAAATAAGGTTAACTGAAACATGAAGGTGCAATTTTAATTAAGGACTGAATTAAAAAAACCCAAAAGATACGGACACTTAAAGACCATTTTCCAATTAGGGACCATACATACAGAATTAATTAAGGTAAGTTGCTGCCTTTTAAAATTCAAGCAATGACAAATACTCACATTCATCTATGGAAATAGGCATCTGATTTTGTCTCACCACGGCAACAATCGCAAACAACAGTACAGGCCATATCAACTCACTGAGAAGTCGAATCTGCAAATAAAACCATTTCAAAGACGATCATCACAGAAGCAACGTACATGTATATCACTCAGCAAATATACCACTTGGACTTGTGTGTGTGGTGAATCAACCTTCCAGAGTTTTCGCTGATCAATCTGTATTTCCTAAATTGGCCATGTTACATATGTGAAAAGCCAGTGACTTCATCATCTAATCCAGTTATTAATCTACCTTTGGAAATTTATGAAACCCTGGTGATATGTAATGCAATCAGAAGTACATTTTCTACTTGGATAAGGAATGACTGTACATTGTGTTTGAGGAATGTATTTCTCTCAAATTTCATGTACTTCTTAAGTATCTATTACATACTACTAAGTGGTTTCTGATAAACCCTCCCGTAAAGGGCCCAAGTTTGAGCTCTTCCTTTGAACGTACTAACACTTATTTTGAACTTGAACCAAACAATTGGCTTCAGCCCAGCAATCAAATAAATATTAGCCAATTTTAAAGTCCTTTTGGTATTAAATATGAAACCACTTTTATCAATAAAATAGCTTACATGATACTAGTATAAATAAGTGCCAGAATTTTGAAAGCAAATCAGCTCCATTACAATGGCATCTTCACTATTTTTCTAAAAACTTTAAGTTCTGTAAAAATTGTCATTTAACATGCAGTATTTTGGTCGCTCCACACCAATTCGTCATCTGTTAAAAATGACCTGATACACTTCAAAATATAATAAACCAATTCTTACCTTTTGCCTCCGGCGTAATGTCAGGTTTTTCCACGTCAGTAGCCAGAGCTGAGTAAAAAACGCCATTGTGCCTCGAGTTGCTGCAATCACTGAATGACAAATACTGCAGATGCAGAGCTACAGTTCTGTTGAAAATAGAGCATCAAAGTCCAACACTGGTTTGCATACTGGTAAAAGTACAGCCAGAGTTAAGAGATGTGCGAACTCCGGTATAAACTGCGGAGACAGGCGCTGGTATTTTCCCACCACGCCACACCTGCATAGAATGTGGCTAAAAACACTTTCCGTGCTGAATTGGAACTAAAACGTATCAGGCCAATCAACCAAGTTCTACATGGTGTCTTTTGTCACGAGTTGATGTTCTGTAAAATGACAGCAACGATCATCATTATCGAAATAAAGAACAATTTATCACAACTTTACAGTTGAAATTAGAATAAAAAATTGAAATTAAAGGGAGAAAATACTGTAACTTAACTTAGAAAGCTGAAACCCTTTGTGATTTTGACGGCAGCGAATATAATGTAGCTCATAGCCGGATGTTATCTTTTCTGATGACCGATTTCTTTACAAAGTAATTTCCAAATTCTTTACAAAAATCATTCCGATGAAAGTGCTGCTTTGTCTATTTGGGTGTTACTTTGAGGAAGACAGAGGTAAAATTCCAACATGAGTGTTTCATGCCGGGGTCGTTTCAGTTAAGCATTATTCTTACAAAAAAACACGCGAGGGTTCCAGAAGCTCACTGCATGATCTTTTACATAAAAGGCTCTATTGTCAGCCAGGCAGAGCGCTAATTCTCACACAATGGCTCCCCATTACACACATATGCAGTGCATAATTGTGTTGTGAACATTTTTCTTCAGAATTAGGCCATATTAAAAAATAGTTGGTTAGCGTCCATGGCATTTCATTTTTTAGGGGCGGGCGGGATTTTTCCCCCCCTCTCTCATTTAAGAGATTTAGTTCCAAATCACGCAGTTTTCGATGAAATATTCATACTCACAATTAAGTGAATAACATGCCTTTTTCAAGATTGATTTTATTTAATTCATGCGTCAAGACATGGAAAAATGCTGGAAAAAAATAACGATCGCGATCGTCCGCCATGTCCACGCGTACCGCGACAAAGCACATTCGCAATACATAGTGCGTTCGGCTTGAGCTATGGCTGC